CATCTAGTGTGTGCACAGACTGATCTAGGCTGAGATTTGAACCCGGTGGCTCACAGCGGTGATGGAATTTGTGGTCCTTTCCCACCTGACAAGATGGCTGTGCTGTGGGACTGTGACCCTTTTTCCTGTCTGAGCTGCTGTGGTTTCTGGTGGTTCTCAGGTCTCTGGTTCACAGTCCAGTCCCTGGATCCCCAGGAGCGTTTCAACCAGTCCTCTTTCATCAGCTAGAATGGATTCTGTTGCTTGCAGATTCAGAAGCCCAAAACTAGGATCGCTGACCTCCATGAAGAGTGGAGGGACAGTTAGAGCCTCAGAGCAGGAGCCCCCACGGCTTGGAGGCTGCCCAGAGAGGGGTAGTGCACCCTCCAGATAGGGTCATGGAAGTCAAATCTAGATTTTGTTGTATTTCTCTTTTTTATATTTTGTCTTTAAAGATTTCTTTAGGGAGAAGAATATTCTTGGGCCATTTTAGATCCAATCTTAGGTTGGAATGAAAGGAGAATAAGAGGTTGGCGGTCAGAAGGAACTTTTGGGAGAGTGACAGGGCGGGACAGTTCTGACTCCGTTCCAGGCCAGCATAGCTGGGAACCTGATTTTCATGAGGAAGACAATGTTTTAAGAGGTGTCCTGCTGCAGAGCTGTTGTGTGGGGTCTACAGGAGCAGGAAGGGCTGGGCAAGGAGGAAATGGTTATGTGAGGTGATTCTGAGAGGTTCTTCTCTGCAGGGTGTGAGTCCCAGGGAACAAGACTGAAATCATAATGGCCTTGGGGTAGAGTCCGTACAATGCTAGTAACTTATGTGAACTGTGCATAAACTGGGGGAAGGGAGGAGATGCCAGTGTCGACTGGTAAAATAAATAAGCAAGCCAGTTGTTCTCATGCCAGATATCCTGAGTAGCAGATATTTACGCTATGATTGAAAACAGTAGCAAAATTACAATTATGAAGTATCAACAAAAGTAATTTTATGGTTGAGGGAGATCACCATGAGGAAACGTGTTAAAGTGTTACAGCATTAGGAGGTTGAGAGCCACTGAAGTAAATATGTAATACACATGTAAATATGTATTATGTATGTATGCATGCATGTGTGTGTGTGTGTATGTATTAGCTCCTGGGAGAGTGGAATATGAGTGACATAACTCTGTATGGGGGAAGAAGATTCTAACTCTTTTTTTTAAGATTTATTTATTTATTTCATGTATATGAACACACTGTAGCTGTCTTCAGACACACCAGAAGAGGACATCAGATCCCATTACAGATGGTTGTGAGCCACCATGTGATTGCTGGGATTGAACTCAGGACCTCTGGAAGAGCAGCCAGTGCTCTTAACCACTGAGCCATCTCTCCAGCCCGGAAGAAGATTCTAAAGCACTATTGTCATTTGGCTGTGATGGATTATTGTGGTTGTGTTAAACAGAGATAGGTGCTGAAGTGTTGTAAATGAAACCGTGTCATGACTGGGATTTGCTATGAAAATCTCCATAGTGAGGGGCAATGACATGCGTCAAACAACATGCACACACACATACGCACAGATACACACCACATGATCACCCCCTACACACACACACACACACATATACACACAGGTTCACACCACATACACAGAGAAATGCACACACACACCACAGACACACACACACACACACACATAGATTCACACCACATACACAGAGACTCACACAGATACACACTCCACACATAGACACACACATACAGACACATAGACACACCACATACACAGAGAGACATACACAGGCACCCCCCCACACACATACACACACACACACACACACAGGTTCACACTACATACACAGACTCACACAGATACCCACTCCACACACAAACACACACACAGGTTCACACCACATACACAGACTCACATAGACACCCACTCCACACACAAACACACACACCCCCCACAGACACACACACAGAACAGGTACATAGACACACACAGATTCACACCATATACACAGAGACTCACACAGACACACACCTCACACATAGACACATACATGCAGATACATAGACACATACACACACAGATACACACCACATACACAGACGTACACAGGCACCCCCCCCAACACGTACACAGGCTTCATACTACATATACAGAAAGAAACACGGAGATGATACATGTGCAGACACACAGATACACACACTTAGACACGCATAAACACACAGCACGTACACAGAGACACACACAGGCTTAGTTTCTCACTTACACGCTGACCACATCTCCCTTGCTTTTAAAGTTCCTCCCAAGCCTAGGGCTGATCTCTCTAAAATACCTCCTGAGGGGCTGGAGAGATGGCTCAGGGTAAGAGCACCTACTGTTCTTGCTGAGGACCTGGGTTCAGTTCCCAGCACCTACATGGTGGCTCACAACCTGCTGGAACTCCAGTTCTGCACTGCACATGAATGGCACACATGAGTTTGTCCAGGCAAATGCACATACACATAAATAAAATTCTAAAAGCAAAAGTGACCTCCTGGGTCTGGCTTCCAGTATCTCGTGCTGGGGTAACCCGATGACCATGTTTACTGAGACAGACTTGTTTAACCGAGCGAAGGGGCCTCTAGAACTGAAGTCCATTCATCCAGCCATCTGCTGTCTCCTCTCTTGATGGGCATTCTTGCCTCAGCCTGAGGATAGCACAGTATCGCCCCTGTGGAGGCTGAGGCAAGCGGACCACTAGGACCCAAGTGTTTAAGAGTAGCTCAGGCCACAGACGGAAGCCCTGACTTGTCTCTCGTTGCTTGGCATGGAGCAGCGTCACCCTCTCATTCGAATGTGCGACCTTAGTGGCAGTGCTCAAATCTCCGTGCCGGGCTTCTGGTCTGTGCTCACCAGCAGACCTGGGGGCCTTGCTCAGAACGCACAGCTACTGTCAGGAACACAGTTTCACTCCATACAGAGCTGCCTCTCTTGCCCTGTGCTCTGCGGAAGAATGAACTCCAGTCAGAAATTGGAAAGTTTACATTGAATTAAAGCCTGCCAACTAGGATTCAGCCTATTTTGTAGTACGAGAGAGATGGCTTATTGGTTAAGAGTGCATACGGTTCCCAGAACCTATGCCTGGCAACCACAACCACAGCACAACACTCCAGCTCCCGTGGAATCTGATGTCTCTGGTTTCCCTGGTACTGTTACTCACGTGTATACTTATACACAAATTAAAAGTTACAAAAATAATACTGATAGGATAGATATTTATAACATAGCTTGTGAACATGTCCTAGGATGCTATTTGGGGATCACATGTCACCTGGCTGGTCTATCTTAAGGCTATACAGTAGGGATTAATAAACTCTTTTCCTTAACGATCCTGACAGGAAATGCTTTCCTTCTGTAGTCCATAGGGTCGCAGTGGTATAGCCTGACAGGGATCTTGGCCATCATCGTGAAAATATGGCTGGGGACTGAGTCAATGAGCGTGTTTATGCTCCAGCCAAATATCACTTATGAAGACTGATGTTTGAATTTAGTATCATCTTCTCATGCTATGAAAAACCATTTACAACAGTAACAACCAGATGGGGTGCTACTGTAATCCAAGCACCCAGGAGTCCAAAGCAGGAGGATCATGGGCTGGCCTGGGCTACAGAGTAAGTTCCAGGCTAGCCTGGGGCTCATAGTGAGAGCCTGTCTCAGTTTGATGAAATACTTTCAAAAAGGTAAAAGCCATTCTTTTAGCACACGGGCCTGAATCTGGTGTTCTGAGTCTGCAGTCTCCACGCAATATTGTGACCCTTGAGTGGCTGTCACTCAGACTGTGGCCCACATGACTGGGAAACTAAAGGTTTAATGTTACTTCATTTTAATGTGAATTTTAGTTTATATTTGAACACCACCCTGTGGGCAGCACTGGTCCATGGAAGTCTTTGCGCTATAGGAGACATGGACAGAAATGTTGTTCACAGGCAGCAAAAGGCCTGAGACTGTGCCCCACGCAGAGTGGAAAGTGGTTTTAGTAACAGTGAGTATTGAGTGCTTGCCAGGCAGTCAAGAAAATGAGTAAGCCACCATCTTAGGCATCAGTGGGACGGGTGAGCTTCAGATCATGAGGTGGTGTGAAAGGCATAGAACCTGCGTTCTGTGTTAATACTATGCTTAAAGCCGTAAAGACAAGCAAAATGAAGCAGTATTTCTTTTTTAGGGAGATGTATGGTAGAGCCACCAAAAGGGAGGGGAGTTTGTGTTACGTTGCAGTCCTAGAAGTGGCATCTTCTCTGTGGTGGGCATGGGGAGGCCTGCTGGGTTGGCACTGACTAGGTGATATCTAGTCAACAGAGTGGGCACCACCAGAAGGCTGTCTTATGACGGCTGTTGTGACCTGGCTTCTGTTTCCTTAAGAGGAAACTGTTGCTCTGATCGGAGACTTTAGATACAGTTTATCAGTGGGAACAAAGGCTTACCTCCATTCGCTAGCAGATCTAATGTTGAACTGAGTGTTTCTAGAGTCGAATTTAGAGAACTTAGCTTAAAAATAAGAACATAGTTCAGGCGTGGTGGCTCATGCTTTTAATCCCTGTACTCAGAAGGCAGAAGCAAGGGGATTTCTGTGACATCCAGACTAGCCTGGTCTCTATATTGAGTTCCAGGCCATCCTGGGCTACATAGTGAGACTCTATCTCCAAAACAAGCAAATAAGAACACTTAGTTTCAATTATTAATAGTCATCAAAGGGGAAAGTCCTAATGACGTGTGTGTGTGTGTGTGTGTGTGTGTGTGTGTGTTGGGAAGGGAAACCTTAACAGCATTGATTGCCTCAGTGTCTCATCCCTGAGTGAGTTCGGTTGCTAAGTTACATAGTTAATGGTAAGTAGGAGTCAAAGTAGCAGTTCTAGCAGCTGGCCGACCAGCCTGGGTTAAGTGACCTGCCCAGCTTTGCTAAGTAATGTGTTGCAGCTTTGACTGTTTCCTTGTTACTCCCTCGTCGCTCTTTCCTGCATTACTGACATGGGTTTGTCTTTTTTCCCTTTAGAGAGTTTTGAGGTGACAGTCACCAAAGAAGGTGATGAAGGGTTCTTTGTCTCCCTTTTATGAATATTAACCCACTAACTTGTTTATAAAATTGGGAATCAGCCATTAAACAGAAGCAACTGCCATGCGTTTCCCCCTATTTATTCTCCTAGTTTGTTCTTTTTTTTTTTTAAGTGTATTTATGGAAATTGTATGTAACTGGACCCTTGGTTAGAAATATCTAGAACTCAGACATCCATTTGAACTCTGTGTTCAGGACCACATGTTTCTGTTTACTCTGGCTTGCTTGCTTAGTACTGTTGTTCTTCTATTTATTGGACTTGTGGGCGAGCACACTCTTATTTTTCTATGAAATGCATTTTGTAGCTTCACATGTGCATCAAGACACTAAATCTGTTCTCCCCCGGGCAAGCATGGAGCCTTGGACCGTTCTCACTAGGACAGTTTCACGTAGTGAAGTTCCCAGGCTGGCGTCCCTCTTCAGTTCAATAGGGTGAAGCCCAGAGCTAAGGAAACCTAACCCCCCTTCCTGTAACAGACAGTGATGACAGCCGTTGAAATGGATGCCTGAAAACTTGGTATTTCTACTATTATTTAGCAGTTTGTTTTGATTCCCTAATTTTAGCCAGGCTCATTGCACAGGAAGACTTGATTTTTTTTTTCCTTGACAGAATTTCTGTAATTATGATGCTGATTCCACACGCCTTCTCTCGATGCTTAACTCTGTATTTTATCCTTTCCCAAACCCAAAGAGCTGCTGAGCGCGCGCTCGGGTCACCCGGACAGCCTGGCCTTGGCTGTTGCTCAGAATCCCTTTACCCTCGGCCATCCTAAGTGCTCCTGTGGAATGCCTGTCTTTGTTCTCTCTCTTGTATCCCTGCATGACTGGATGCAAAGTAAACCAGTTGCTTGGAAAGCCAGAACCGCTTCTAATAAAGCCCCAGAACTCACCCGTGCTAAAGCACAGTGCCCCCCGCTTTGTCCACGGACCCTTCAAACCCCCCTGGCTGCTAAGTTGTTGTCGTCTGTTTTCTTTGGGGGCGGAGGGCAATGTGCAGAAGGTTTGAGTGGCAGATGTACTAACCTGTTCCGGTTTACTCCCCAGGTGAGATTTGTGGCTTTAAAATTCATGGGCAGAATGTCCCCTTTGATGCTGTGGTAGTGGATAAGTCCACGGGTGAGGGAATAATCCGATCTAAAGAGAAACTGGACTGTGAGCTACAGAAAGACTACACATTCACCATCCAGGCCTACGACTGCGGAAAGGGACCCGATGGCACCGGTGTGAAAAAGTCTCACAAGTAAGTGGGCCGGACAGAGCAAAAAGAGCCGCCCAGGGGATGAGTGTGCGTGGGGGAGGGGCGGTCAGGAGCTGGCTCCCGGTTCTGTGTTTTGAAAAGGAGCAGGAAGAGTTCCGCAGGGTGTCTGGTGGGTCATAAAGGGTGGGCTCCAGCCTGTGTATCCCCTTTTGTGTCCAGCTTCTGGGAAGAGCCTGCTGGAAACTAGTTTTGAAAAGAGAATGGTTTATCCCACTGAGTATTCTTGGTAAAGAAACAGCAGGTCATGCCTGTTCTTCAAAGGCTGAGATAGGAGAATCACAAAGTCAAAGGCAGCCTAGGTAATAGAGCAAGACCCTGTCTCTGGACGAGGAGGGTGGAGGCAGGGATGGACAGACAGACAGACAGACAGACACACACACACACAGGCACACACACACACGAGGTCCTGTATTGAACTTTTTCCTAAGGAAAATGGTTCTGTTATTCTTATTATTTCCTGTAAACCCTAAGCCCATAAGCTAGCTAACTTGCAGAGGAAGCAGACAGGCCTCTTCAATCCTATATAGAGTTCATATGCCTCCTGCCAGCAGAGGGCTCAACTCCAACACAAAGGGCTCTAGAAAAAGACAGGTTCAATATTCTAGACTTCTCGCCAGCCCTTCAATAGCATGCAGATTTAATGTCGCTGAGCACTGAGTCCTCTCAGTGTCTACACTGTGTGGGCTACAGTGTCTACACTGTCTGTCCTAGGACTTAGTGAGGGCACACCACACAGATGAGCGTGGGTCAGGACACAGGTGAACAGCAAGGTGTGTCGCACTAGTGAGAGTAATGTCACACTTTGTCACACAGTGACGTTTTATTCATTGAGAAGATTTTGAGTGTGTGCTAAGGGTGGGCCTGTGTATGTCACATGAGCTCTATGTTACAGATATGTGCCCCCAAAAGATAATAGATGCCTGACAATGAGAAACCCATGAAGCCCATAAGTGTCACCATTTGGAGGCTGGTTTGTCGGTACCCTGGGAAATGGCGGTGAGGGGGCGCCTCTGCTATAGGCTTTCGTTGGTGTAGTCAGTACTGGATGACATCCCAGTAGTGACGTCCTCCTTCGGAGTACGGCAGAATTTATTTGTTTTTACATGTTCATGTCATGTGTATTTGCAAATGTATGGGCACATTCCTGTGTGTGTGTATCCTGGGGTGCATGCGTTTCTCAGTTGCTCTCAACTTTATGTGTGGAGACGGTCTCTCCCTGCGGATGGAGCTCACCTCACTGTTTGGCTAGTCCAGCTAGCTAGCTTGCCCTGCAGTTCCATTTCAGGGCATTTCAGATGAGCTGCCATGCTCACAGTTCCGTGGTGCTGGGGCTCAGCGCTCCCTCCTGCCTTTATATGTTCATGGGAAGTGCTTCATCCACAGAGCCACCTCTCTACCTCAGAATTTATTTTACCTCATATACTGAAATTTTTTTCTCAATTTTCTCACCCTTCTTCCTTTGGCTATATGTTTATAAGATTCTGTAATAACGTATCTTAACTTCATGGCCAGAGGGAGTACTGTTTAATGAATTCTTCTCCCTTCACGTCTTACCCCCACGTTAAAAGAAAATCCCGTCTCTTTAGTTACACTGGTTTTCTGAGTCAGCTGCCTTAATCTTAGGGCACAGAAAAATCAACCCACGTCCGGATTTTGACTCGCCGTGTTTCTGTGTCAAACTGATAGCAGTGTAATTGGGTTTATATTTTGGCTTCCTTGTAGGGAGCGCAGGAAACAATATCAGGAAAGGAAATCTAGAAACAGGCAGAATCGGTGCTTTTTGGGTAAAAGACAGGACAGAACCGCCCTCAACAGCCTACTTCCCTCTTGTCCAGGGCGACCGTGCACATCCAAGTCAATGACGTGAACGAGTACGCCCCCGTGTTCAAGGAGAAGTCGTACAAGGCGGCCGTGGTGGAGGGCAAGCAGCACGGCAACATCCTCAGGGTGGAGGCCGTGGACGCAGACTGCTCCCCTCAGTTCAGCCAGATCTGCAGCTATGAGATTCTCACCCCGGATGTGCCATTCACTGTGGACAAAGACGGTAAGATCAGAGGAGCCTCGTGAAGGCCTGGCCCTTCAGTGAGGTCAGCTGCTAACCCGGCTTCCCAGTGCTGGGAGAGCAGAGAGCTTGCAGGCTGCCTGGAGTCCACCGAGTTACTTGGGCTTGACTTAACTTCCTGGTCTGAAGCCTCTCTGAAGCCTGGGCTCTTCGGGGCTCTCCTTCTCTGACACAAGTCAAGTAAAGGCCTAACTTAATGCAAATCTTCTCAGTTCTGTCCACCTGCAGCTGTGTGTGTTGTCCCTTTAGTCACACTGATTTTTTTTTTCTCCATTTGATTAGAATCTTTTACATACACCCTACACACACACTTTGGGTGATGCTAAGTATCCAGTCCAGGGCTTCCTGCATGCTAGGCAAATGTTCTTCCACTGGGCTTCCACTGTAGCTCCTTCTGCCTTATCCTACAGGTGAGGGTCCGTTCATTCATTCATTCTTTTAAAAATTATTATTTTATTTCTACATAAAATAATAGTATATTTTTATTAGATATATTAACATAAACTAATATAAAATTATTTTACTATATTATTATATAAATAAATATATCTTTCTTAGTTAGTTAGGTTTTTTTTTTTTTTTTTGGTTTTTTGAGACAGAGTTTCTCTGTATAGCCCTGGCTGTCCTGGAACTCACTGTGTAGACCAGGCTGGCCTCGAACTCAGAAATCCTCCTGTCTCTGCTTCCCAAGTGCTGGGATTAAAGGCATGTGCCACCACCACCTGGTGTTAGTTAGTTTTTTTTAAGACAGGGTGTCTCTGTGTATCCCTGGCTATCCTTAACTCACTCTGTAGACTAGGCTGGCCTCAAACTCAAAGAGATCCACCTGCCTCAGCCTCCCTCCTGAGTGCTGGGACTAAAGGTGTGCCCGACCACTGCCCGGCTAAAATATTGTTTTTAAGTACGTGTCTCTGTGTGGATACATGCATGGGAATGCAGGTTCATTTGGAGACCAGAGGTGTCGGATCCCCTGGCGCTGGAGTTATAGGCATTTGTGAGCCACTTGCAGTGTGCTGGGAATGGGTCCTCTGGGAGAGCATTGAGTCTGAGTCTTGCTATGTAGCCTAGAGTGTTCTCATGTTTGTTATCCTCCTGCCCAGCCTGCTGATTGCTGGGATTGGAGCTAAGATGGGGATTCACATCCTCTTACCTCTGCCAGAACCTTGGCTCCTGAGTAAAACTCAGCTTCTTTGTAACTCGTGAAATAACTTCTCGATGATAACATGGTGTCCCTGTCAAACTGATGCACACTGCAGTGTCTGGTGGAACTGTGCGTATGGGAGACTTTGCCGGGTCGGGAGAGATGGCTCCACAGACCCTCTACAGAGGACCTGTATTCAGTCTTCAGCATACACGGCAGGCTGCTCACAGCTACCTATAAATGTGGATCGGGAGACCCCAGCGCCCTCTTCTGGCATCTAAAGGCACCACACATGTGTGGTATATATACATGCAGGCGCTCACACATCTATGTGAAATAAAAACAAACCTTAAAAAAAAAGGGCTTGTACTCATTTAAATCAAGATCCCTGTCTGTCCTGGAACTCACTCTGCAGACCAAGCTGGCCCGAACCTCAAGGTCCTTCTGCTTCCGTCCTCCCCATCTCCGTTGCTGGGATTAATGGTGTACACCACCACTGCCTGGCTCCTCGCTTGTTTTATTGAGGGAAGATAGTTTCATTCAGCCTAGGCTCGTCTTGAACTTGGTATTTAGCTCAGTATGACTTTGAATTTTTAATCCCCCTGCCTCTACCTCTCAAGTGCTGGGATTCCAGGTGTGTGCCACCACTCTTGGTTTATGGAGTCTGACGGTGGAGGAGGGAGGTTTCAGAGCTAGTTCTTCCATCCTATGGCCCCAGCCCTCAGCTTTTCAACAAAACAAAACTTAAAAGAAGTATTTAATGAAGTTTGGCCTTGTTGTTAGTAGTTAAACTATTTCTCTTTGTCTTATTACATGCAAAGTACTAAATGTCGATATAAAATCTGCGCAGGCAAGGTAGCTCAAGTAAAAGCACTTGACACACAAGCCTGATGACCCAATTTCAACCCCCAAACCATGGTGTAAGGAGAGAACTAGCTCCTGGAAGTTGTCCTTTGACCTCCGCACACACGTGTACACACATGTGTACAACCACCTATACACCAAATGAAAGTGTTTTTTATCCGGGCAGTGGTGGTGCACGCCTTTAATCCCAGCACTTGGGAGGCAGAGACAGGTGGATTTCTGAGTTCGAGGCTAGCCTGGTCTACAGAGTGAGTTCCAGGACAGCCAGAACTACACAGGGAAACCCTGTCTCGAAAAACCAAAAAAAAAAAAAGAAAAGAAAGTTTTTTTTTAAAGTTGGGTGAATGGTACATGTCCTTAATCCCATCACGTGGGAGGCCAAGGTCTAGCCTGGCCTACATATTATAACAAGTTCCAGGACAGCCAGAGCTACACAGAAAGACTGGTGTAGAAAGAATACAAGAATAAGCGGAGGATGGGCTTGTGGATTCAAACAGTCTTTGCACACTCGAGCATGGAGTCGGTGTGTTCTCCAGCTATGGCAAGTTGGGGGAGTGGGTGGGGGCGGTGCTGTGATCTGAGTTTATTTCAGGCTCTGTCTGTCCTTCCCTCACAACACAAGTAAAGATGGTTCTCACTGTTGCTTCCCCTTTCTGCCAGGTTATATTAAGAACACCGAGAAGCTAAACTATGGCAAAGAGCACCAATATAAGCTCACAGTCACCGCCTATGACTGTGGGAAGAAAAGAGCCACCGAGGATGTCCTGGTGAAGATCAGCGTTAAGCCCACCTGCAGCCCCGGGTGGCAAGGTGAGCTGCCATCCCTCTGGCTCCTGTGTCCATTCTGAAATGACACACCATTAAAAATGTGGCCGTGAGCTTTCTTTCTTTCTCTCACATTCATCCGTGGATCAATGCAGGCTGGAGCAGCAGAATCGAGTATGAGCCCGGCACGGGTGCTTTGGCCGTCTTCCCAAGCATCCACCTGGAGACCTGTGATGAGCCTGTCGCCTCTGTGCAGGCCACAGTGGAGCTGGAGACAAGCCACATAGGGAAAGGCTGCGACCGAGATACCTACTCTGAGAAATCCCTTCACCGGCTCTGTGGTAAGAAAGTCTGGTGTCTGGAGCCCTCAGTCTTCCGGGGACTTAGGACCCCAGCCCCTGTGTCTTAGTCAGTAAAATGATGGGTAGAACAGACCCAATGTTCTGAAGTGGCTTTTGCTGCTTTGCTGTCTGGTTTTCATTCAGGATGGGCATGGGGAGTACACAGACCCTGCAGAAAAATTCAGAATTATATAGGTGTCTGCACTGAAGAGCCTGTGATTCCAATAAAGTAACATATATTGAGAGTCATTCAAGTATGGGTGATGTAAGAATAAGAAACCAGGCTTGGGAATGTGCTCTGTAATCCAGCTACTCTAAAGGCTGAGGCAGGAGGTCAGTAGATCCATGAAGTCTGGTTCTGCCTAGGTCACATAGAGCATACTGTTTGTAAAGCATGCTTTTCCTAATGTGTGAGGCTCTGAGTTCAATCCCAGCTCCAGAAGGAAGGAAAAAAAGTTCACCCTGACAGTATGAACTGACGGTTGTAAATCTCCTCTCTACTCTTTTTTTTAAAAATTAGATTTGTTTATTTTACCTGTGTGTGGTACTTGTGTGCCTTGGTGTTCATGCAGAAGTCAGAGGATGGCTATTCTCCTTCAAACACACGGGTTCTGGGGACCAGACCCCGGTTATCAGGTTACCTGTGCTGAGCCATCTCATTGCCCTCTCTCCCCTCAGTAGTTCTAGTTCTAGAAGTTTACCCTAAGGTCAGAATCATCAGCTCCATAGATGCTCAGTCCCTGTCTGGGAGAGAGACTAAATCAGTTACGTTGTATCTGAACAGGGAAATGCTATGCAGCCACTTTAAGCTGTGCTATATATAGAAGAATAAGGAGAATATACGTATGTATTGCAGATACAGCAGATTCCAGTTTAATTAAAAAATATGTTGTGGACTGGAGGTGTGCCAGGGACCAGCCTTGGCTTGGAGAGGGGTCCTGAGGAAGGAGTGTATAGGAGTAGATAAAGAAATAACTCGAAGTCAAGTCGTGGGTTACAAGCTGACAGCCTATGTTCTGCTCGAGACAGCTCTCTTCCAGGGACAGCTTTCTTTACGAGACAACTCCCTCATGTTAGAAAAAAATGCTAAAAGCTCTCTGGATAGCTCATGGGTTTTCCAATCAAAGTCTGGAAAGCTGCTAGAAAAAAAAGTTCTGGATTTTTCCAACTAAGTCAGAAATCCTGTTAGAGGAATTCTAAAAGTAATTTTTAGGTCTTCTGACCAAAAATATCAGAAAGCCAGAAAAAATTTCTAAAAACAGTTGTATTAGCTCTCAAAGCAGTTCTTTCTCTGGGTTTGTTCGATCTCTTGCTGGCCAAAGCCCAGTCTTTTATTTACATATCAATTCAGTCATTTTTTCCAGGTTTTGTCCTGATTATCCCACGAATCAGCATTCTATCACCCCAGCCCCTTGATTCTTAGAAAGAGACAGTAAGCATTTGTTTTTTAACATTGCAAATTAATTCAGAGATCTGCCTACCACTGCAAGCACGGACAGTAAGCTAGCTACATGGGATCTTGCTCTGAGATCCTAGCCTAGCCTCACTCTTTCCCAGGCTGACCTTGAACTCATGAATCTGCCTTTCTATCTTTCTGACAAGCTGGCTCATAGTGCGACTGCCTCTGTTCTTTTAAGTCTGTGAAACTCGTTATACAATTCATATTGTATTCTTATAGTTTGCCTAGTTGAGAAATTGTATATCTTTTTTGAACTCATGTTTTCAGGGTTTTTCCCACAGCCTTTTAAGGGCTGTCCATATATGTGCACACCCATACACATACATGCACACACATGCACACACCACTATTTTATATATTCATAAAAGGGGGCTAGAAGTGTTTACACACAAAACTATATATTTGCGTGGGAGCATCAAAAGTAATTTTGTTGTTGTTGTTTGTCTGTTTTGAGTCAGGGTCTCTCTGCATAGCTCTGGCTAGCCTGAATCTAATTCTGCAGACCAGGCAAACTGAACACATAGAGATAAATGCTTGCCTTTGTCTCTGCCTCCAAAGGCCTGTGCACCATACCTGGCTGTGTTTTATCTTCTTCCTTCTTCTCCTTAAAACAAAAAAATTCACAGTTTGTGTTTGTGTGAGAATGTGTGGGTATGAATATGTGAGTGTGTACATGAGTGTGTATGTGACAGAGTGTGTGTGTGTGTGTGTGTGTGTGTGTGTGAGAGAGAGAGAGAGAGAGAGAGAGAGAGAGAGAGAGAGAGAGAGGGTGTTGATGTTTTCTCTCACTCTGTAGCCAAAAACTCACTTGTAGCCCAGGCAGGCTTTGAACTGGTAGTCCTGCCTCTGCTTCTGCCTCTCAAGTGCTGAGATTACTGATCTGTGTGTGTACTCTTACATTTTCATTAAAACAAGAAAAATCACCTTTAATCCCAGCACTTGGGAGGCAGAGGCAGGCGGATTTCTGAGTTCGAGGCCAGCCTGGTCTACAGAGTGAGTTCCAGGACAGCCAGGGCTACACAGAGAAACCCTGTCTCAAAAAACCAAAAACAAACAAACAAACAAACAAAAAACCCAAGAAAAATCCCTTATTTTCCAGGAAAAGCAAAATCAAATCAGCAAACATTCTAACCCTGAGCTGAGAGCCACCCCTTAGTGAGGCCCTGAACCACCCCCAAGCCCTCCGTTCTCCGTGGAACTCACAGTCCTGTCCCTGTGGTTTCAGGGGCTGCTGCCGGCACCTCGGAGCTGCTCCCGTCCCCCAGTAGCTCTTTCAACTGGACTGTGGGCCTCCCGACCGACAACGGCCATGACAGTGACCAGGTCTTTGAGTTCAATGGCACTCAGGCAGTGAGGATTCCGGACGGCGTTGTGACCCTTGACCCTAAAGAGCCTTTTACAATTTCTGTGTGGATGCGGCATGGACCTTTTGGCCGGAAGAAGGAGACAATTCTCTGCAGTTCGGATAAAACAGGTTTGTTGTGCCCCTGGACTGCCTGGTATTCTTAAGAGTCCTCTCACAGGGACTGGGTCCTCCAGCTGCTCTCTGTTTTATGCCAGGGACACTTTGTCCTCAAGAGAGGCAGAGCTAGCCTGGGGGATTTATCAGTTTTCCTCAGTACATTACTCAGTAAAGCTCCTGTGTGTCTGTGTCTAATCCCTGTCTTGGCCCAACTGGAGGGTTCATTTGTGCAGATCGAGTCTTTAAATCCATTAAGGAAACAGTCCTTCCTCTCCCCTTGGGCCTGAAGTTGGCAGTGTCCCCACAGACACCGTCTGTCTTTGCAGATATGAACCGCCACCATTATTCACTCTATGTCCACGGATGCAGACTCATTTTCCTCCTCCGTCAGGACCCGTCTGAGGAGAAGAAATACAGGCCTGCGGAGTTCCACTGGAAGCTGAACCAAGTGAGTAATGGAAGCTGGCCAGGTCTCCTCTCGGGATGTGGTGGCCTGAGGAACACTGTGGTCTGTGTGTCGGTTGGTCACGGGCTGGCGTAGCAGACTCCTTAAGCTCCTTCCCACCACCGACCTTCCCCCAGTGTGCATTTTATACATTACATGCTAACATAAATATTATGTTCTTTAGGAGCCAGAGAGATGGCTCCACAGGTAAAGGGACTTGCCACCAGGCCTGACCCTGAGCTTGACCCCCAGAGCTCATGCCCATGAGAGACAGACCTCCCTCTTACAAATTGTTCTCTGACGTGCACACGTGTTGTGGCACATGTGTGTGCACATATACACGTTTTCAAAATTAAGAAAGAATATGTGTTTTAAAGTCAAAGTGTAGTTATGCTTGACTAGAAATAAGGGACACTGTCTCAAGCGATGGCACTGAAACCCTCCTGGTTACCTTAGTTGTCGTTGCCTAAGGCTCGGCCTCCAAGACTGTAGCATGGAGTGTGAAACTGACTCAGCAGTTCAGAGGTACCATAGCGGCCTCAAATGTTCAGCTGGCTGCCATTTTGGTGTCTTTCAGATGCCACAAAAACTGCTAGCTCAATGTAGCGTATGTCTGGCGAGACCGCAGAGCACCCCTCTGGGTGATGTCTTTGGGGGGCTGATTTTCCAGCATCACTTTGATAAGCGCTTGGGAGGAGGAAGGCTGGTGAAATATCTCCGTTGAGGAATGAAGTCAGCTCTTGTTGTAAACTGAGACTCAGTCAGCTTGCTAAGGAGGGGAACTCTGGCTCAGCTGAGACTTGGTTCATGGAGTTAGTGGGCAGAGAAATCGGACAGACAGCCGGGCAGTGGTGGCGCACGCCTTTAATCCCAGCAGATTAAAGGAGGCAGAGGCAGGCGGATTTCTGAGTTCGAGGCCAGCCTGGTCTACAGAGTGAGTTCCAGGACAGCCAGGCTTACACAGAGAAACCCTGTCTTGAAAAAATCAAAAAAGAAAGGAAGGAAGGAAGGAAGGAAGGAAGGAAGGAAGGAAGGAAGGAAGGAAGGAAGGAAGGAAGG